CGGTGTCGGGCTTTCAGCTGCTCCAACCCACATGCGAGGTGGGGCCACTGTCTCCCCCTTGGCCTCGTCATCGGGGTAGCCTCCTCCTCGTGGATGCTTTCGACGTGTCCCTCGTGAGTACCTGTCATGAAGCATTCACGAGAGGGGTGATGGCTCCCCCTGCTGGAGTTAGAGAGCCAGATGGCGACTCCGGCTCCTCTGTGAGGAGGTTGTAGAAAGACTCCGCGATGTGTTCGATCACCCCCATAAACTCGTTGTTCGTGGGGGTTAGGACCATGCGTTGTGCCACAACGAGGCCAATGGTCTCTGTGGCATTGCAGAGACCGAACGGGAGTACTATCGGGGTGCTCCGGATGAGGTATTCCAGGGAGAATGGCTCTCCCCCAGTAAGCTGTGCCATGACATTGGCGAACGAGAAGGTGAGGTGGCGCAGGTCCTCTCGGGACGGTTGGGGTCCCAGGAAGACACCGAGATGACGCTCCAACCTTCCATAGTCGAAGTTGAGGAGCTGGCCGCTTCTGGGGGCGTGGGCCTCCGACGCAAGCAGCCGCAGCTCCTCGAGCATCTCGGAGATCATGTCGAGGCCGGTGGAGTGGAAGAGTTGAACGACAACGGGTGCCCACGCCAGCTCTCCCTCCGCCGTGACGATAAAGTCCAGGTCCCCGAAGCGCATGTGTGCGCCCAGGACCTAGTTGATGCCATGACTAGCCATCCATGACCTAATGTTAATGTTGGGACACGCAAAGCCCCCTACCTGGTGCGCCAACTATTGGTGTTCCGAGTAAACACCAACGGGTAAATTTGTATTATTGCACGTCTGGTCCAGATGGTGTGCTAAAAAGATATAAGGTTTATACTGGTTTGGGCAGAATGTCCCTATATCCAGTTCGTGGCTGCTGCTCATGTTATTAGCACTGAAAAGTTTATAGTAGGGGTTACAAACAGACGAGAGAGGGACAAGTGTTATTAGCTTGGTTGTTGCTCAGCTATGTGTTCGAGGTTCGATGTTAGTGGTTCTGCTGTGATGCGGTGAATCGATCCCCTTAGTGGGGTGCCCTGCTTTCCCTTTTATAGACCAAGGGAGAGCATGGGTTACAGATAAGAGAAAAAAGGAAAACAAGAGGCAAAGGAAGTCCTTCAGGGTCGCCAAAACTTCATTTTCCTCCGTGCGAGCCTCGCTGACATGGCAGGTGGTGCCAGGGACAGCCTCACGCCGGGCGCCTGTCTGCTGACCATGACTGGGCCACGCCGGGTGCCTGTCCTCTAGCAATGCCATGCCCTAGCATTGTCAGTGGGTCGTCATGCCTCACTCCATCCTGGTGGGCGGCGCGATGAACCAGCGTGCTGATCAGCGGCCATACAGAGAGTAGGCAGCATAGTGACCATGCGTCCGTCACTGTGGGAGATGTAAGTTCTCTGGAATGACATGTCGTGGGGACGGGTTGCGCTGAGGTGTGAATGCTCCCTGCACGACTCCAGAAGTTTGACCCTGGAATGACATGACGGCGCCCACAACACTATGAGACAAATGTTAGCGCCTACAACACTGTTTAGGCTCTAACATACCTGAAAGGTCGCAAAGCACCCTTCTGGCATGGCCTGACGATACTATCCTACAGGTGTGCAGGGTACGGTCCTCGGTATTATGGTTGACTTTGAGCGCCTTGCCTTATCTGCTCCATGCGTTGTTGTAAAGGAGTCGTGCGTAGATGTCGGGCGAGGCAGAGTCAGCCCTTAGACGTCGGGTGAGATAGAGCCAGCCCTCAGACATCGGGCGAGGTGGAGCCAACCGAGCCAACCCTCGGGGGTCGAGCGAGGCGGAACCAGCCCTCAAACATCGGGTGAGTTGGAGCTAGCTCCCAGGAGTCAGCCGAGGCAAAGCCAACCCTCGAGGGTTAGATGAGACAGGGCCCATGGCCACAACGCCCATTGAGGTGGAGCCCAGCAAGCGGCGTAGTCGCGCTCTTGATTGCGCAGACGAATCAATGTTGATCGTCATTAGCTCCTCCTCTTCGGGTACCATAGTATTAGTCCCCGATACTTAGCTTGGCAAATTAAGGATATATCTTTATTTCTACTAATGATTTAATGTATATTGAAACAAAGAGGATTTAACTATCCTAATGTTTAGTCTATTCTAAAGCTATAAAAATTACGATGAGCACATAATAATACCATAAAGCTACAAAAAAAATTGTAGAACTAAAGCTATCACCAATTTACCACAAAAATACCTACAATATTTAACATAATAATATTAAGCACTCTCAAATGATTTAATAGCCCTAGTATCAACATGTATATATATGAACTAAATACACTAACAGATAGAGCACAATTTTTGAAACCTAACAAAATTTATTTCATAATTTTTAGACACCTACATGATTTTATATAATTTACCAAAGATCAGCTCAAAAATTAAATTAGAAAACTATTTCTAATACCTTATGAACAAAATGAATTCTCCCGCGCGGCCCACGTGACGCAGCGCGCGCGCGAGCACGCGGCGGCCCGCGCGAGGCCGGCCCTTGGCGAATAAACCCATGCGCGCTGGCGCTTTTGCAGAAACACCCTCGCGCTATCCTCTATTAACATGACGACTATGCGCACTATTTCTACAGACAGCGCTTATACAAGAAAGCCCTTGTATTAACCAGTCTTCGCATCGAGGAGGTCCCCAGCACGTCATTGACCGGCACTGGCCCGCTACGCCGGCCAACTGTGGACTCCCTCAATCCATCTAGAGGACCGATGCTCACCTACGGGCCAATGCGCAACAATGGGCAGCGATTCAGAGACTAGAGACGAAGTAGGGCGACTTCTCCATGTCAGCGGCAAGCTGTGGTGGCGACGACAACGTTACGGTAAGCCACGGTGCTAAGGGAGCAGTAGAGGTAGTGATTTCAATTTGTAATTTCTAGGCTAGTAGAAATATTAGTTAGTAATATCATTTTCAACAGCAAGTATTTCACTGTCATCTACAAAGTTCAAATTCCAAACTTTATTTAAGCGTCACATATATGTTCTATAGCATTCTTGTTCGATAAAAATTAGTTTTAAACCCTACTTGATATACATGAACTATCGAATCAACTTTCGTTTAACATTTTTATTGATCATTTTAAGTTACAAGAAATTTATCTATACATTTTATCATGTGTATTAACATATAAACATGATGCTCATGATATATTTTAGTAAATGATTTAGGGTGTAACTCCGAAAGTGTTACGTCTCATCCCTTTGAGCAAACACACCTTGAACATGTGACTTGAACCATTTTCACCCATATGAGTTCACCTCATGGCTTCAAGTCACTTCTACTGACGATTTGATACTCAACATAATATGACTCGTCGTAGCTCGATTAATTCCTCGACTTAATGCAAGCACTCTCTTCTTCACCTTAGCCATGGTACCTCAGTTCTCAAGTCGTCGCTTGCCCTTTATCATCGTTTAGTCCATCGAAGCCCTTTTCTTGCTATCTTCACCCTATTGAGCTATACTCAAGTCACATAATATTAAGCATCCATTAAAAAATTGTTTCTTTAATATTTTGATCATTGCTTGATTATCTTCTAAATATGAATGTTGAGATCAATCAAGCTTCTGATTGATTTACTTAGATTGACACATATAAATCAACATCAATATGGTCAAGCCAATTCATGATTCTTTATATTCTCTTCATTTTGGCTTGACGCCTATAATATTCGTCGCAATGTCTATCTTCATGATGTGAGCTCAATCCAAAACAATGAGACCATAGATATGCATAAGACTATATCTCTTTATACATGTGCATCTTGGATTGCCATTACTTCATAGTACTATTATTCTTGATAGTTTGCATCTTCATGCTTCCAACTTGATCAATATAAGTCAACTATCAATTTGTTTCTTGTTCATGCAAAGCAAACTATTATTGAGACCAACCAAAATCATCTACTCATGTCTCATTTGTCATTTGCCAAATATGCTTGTTTTCAAATGATGCTATGATATCCCACAACATAGAGGTCATTTCATCGATTCCATTTACATTGTTGTCTTCTGCTTGAGTTAAATTGTTTACATAATTTTCCAACACAACAATACATAATTTGGCCTTCATTTCAATACTATATGGAATACCATTAAGTTTGCCTTCTGGTTGAACCTTGGATACACTTCTCATTACACAATTCACAAGTGTATGCAATAACTCAATTTTCTGTTCAACACTTAACTTATTAGACCTTTAATTATGTTGTCATTAAATTTACCAAAACCCATTAAAAGGGTTAAATGCACTTATAGAGAGTATAAAGAATTTTGAAATGCCACACAAAGTGTTAAAGAGATTTATATGATTTATTTATGAAGCATTTGATCCTAAGACGGTTGACAATATAAAGGATTTGAGATGACATACAAAGTGTGAAAAGAGGTTTGTTGATGCCAAATTCAGCCAACACACTGGTAGGAGGCCAGATCGTCTGAGATCGCAACACTTCCTAGATAAGTACAAGGAGGTCTAAATGTCGAGGTCAGTCAGCAGGTCGATGAGGGCGATAAGACGCTCGTTCTTTGTTCGAAAAAACCTAATAACACCTTCTAGAAAGACTCATCGGGGAGACGCAGGGGTATGCTAGATGGACAATGCCATCTAAAACGTGGTAAATCTCATCGAGAGAATAAACTATTTTATCGAATATTTTTTTCTCCACTCTACTATAAAAGCCACGAACTTTTTTTGTCACAATTAAACAACCTCTACCAAACGGACGCGTGAGGTCTCCCATCGTCGTTGCTTGAATACGAGGCATCCTAGGCTCCCACCGTCCCACGTGGCGCCACGTTAGCGTGTCCTTATGCCAACCGCGCGGTGACCTCACCGGCAACAAACCGCCGGAGCCTTGCGCTCGTAGTATTCTCCGCTCAGCACCACAGTACCACACCCGTAGTCTCCGCTCACCACACTCTCCTGGTTTCCCTTTCCCCTACTCCTCCGCGTCATGATGTCCTCGGCGCCGCCGTCGGAGCCGGCCACCACCGGCGACGACGACGATGTGGAGTCCCTCCCCCTTGCCACCGCCTCCGACTACGCCTCCGTCGCCTCCACCTTTGACCCCCTCCTCTCCTCCACTTCCGCCACCGCTGCCTCGCCCCGCTCCCCTCCCACGCGCGCCGCCGCCTTCACCCTCTCCCCGACCTTCTCCTCCTCCTTCGTTGACCCTCCCTCCTACGCCGACGCCACCGGCGCCGGCGCCGGCTCCTCCTCCCCGCGCTCCGCCTCCTCGCCCTCCTCCGCGTCGCCGAGATCCACGCGCTTGGCGGCCTCCGAGTACTCCCTCCTCGCTGTCTCCGACCCGGAGACCGAGGCCGAGCCTGCCGCTACCTCGCTTGTCCCCGGATCCGCGCCCACCTACGTCTCCTACCTCGTCACCAGCGTTCACCGCCGGGACCCCGACCAGCGCCGCCATTCGGTGCGCCGCCGCTTCCGCGACTTCGTCACGCTCGCCGACCGCCTCGCCGAGGCCTTCCGGGGCCAGTTCGTGCCGCCGCGCCCGGACAAGAACACCGTCGAGAGTCAGGTCATGCAGCGGGACGAGTTCGTGGCGCAGCGCCGTGCCGCGCTCGAGCGGTACCTCTGGCGACTCGCCGAGCATCCGGCCATCGGCTCCAGCGACGAGCTGCGCGTCTTTCTGCAGGCCGAGGGAAAAATGCCACTGCCCGGCAGCACTGATATGGCGTCACGGATGCTCGATGGTGCAGCAAGGCTGCCGCGGCAGCTCATTGCTGGGGAGGATGCCGTCGCCGCGCCACAGGAAGTCGTGCAGCCTGCCAGGGGCGGCAGGGACCTGCTGAGGATATTCAAGGAGCTCAAGCAGTCGGTGGTAACTGATTGGGCCGGTGTCAAGCCTCCCCTGGTAGAGGAGGATAGGGAGTTCCTGGAGAAGAAAGATAAGCTGCAGGAGTGGGAGCATCAGCTCACCAGTGCGTCACAACAGGTGATCTCTTCTCCCTCAGATGCCAGAAGCCCAAAACTTCCATGTAATATGTGTCTCATAGTTAGGGCCTCTTTGGCACGGCTTATGCCGGCTTCGGCTTCATCTATTTTGCGTAAATCGAGGCACTATAGCGTGAAGCCGTTTTGTAAGCCGGGGTTAAAATGAACTAGAAGCCGGGAAAAGCCATTTTTTCTGGCTTCACCGGTGAAGCCGTTTTGGATGAGCCGTGCCAAAGGGGGCTTTAATTGTTATGACCATGGGAGTGAGGCAATGTATTTCTTCTCTTCTACTACTAATTACTACCTCCATCCAAAAAAGAATGTAATCCTAGATTTGGACGAAGCCAAATTTGATTTAAGTTTGACTAGGTTTATAGAAAATAGTATCAACATTTGGATCTCCAAATAGGTTTATGAAAATATATTCCATGATTAATTTAATGATACTTATTACACATCATAAATATTGTGTCAAATTTCGGAAAGTGAGAATTTCATTTCTGGGGAAGAGTAATAACTAGTAGAGTGTTTAACAGTGATTCATTCTCTTTGAAGATTAAGCTTAACCCCGAAACCTCCCCGTCTAAAATTGAAAAAAAAACTTTGAACACATTGGATTCATGACTGAGTATGTTCCACGAATCTCCTTCAGTATCATGCATCTTTCCTTTTTTTACACTAAGTTCCTCCATAAGTTCTATTTAATTGCAACATTGCAATTGTAGCTAATGGTGCTTCTATAACATGGCATCTTAATTCTAGTAGTTTGACCATTTTTACCATTCATTTTGATTTCTTCTATCCAGAATTCGAATAACTTGCAATGTATCTCCATTTCAAGATGTAGGGCATGTTAGGATTCAGAAAAGTCAAACATTGTATTTGACCATCAATTTGTTGAAATATATGTATGTTTAGTGCACAAATGATGCATCAATAGATTTGTATTTTTCATGTCTTTTAGTAGGATATTGGCTTTGTAGTAATTGACAAGATAGTATAAGAGATATTAATGGTCAAATTATAGACTTCCTAAAATCCTAATATGCCTTAGAAAAATAAATGGAGGGAGTAACAACGGAAGTGGCCCTTAAGGCCTTAATATAGCATGAACCTTGAGGACATTTTGTAGTGCTATTTTTACGTAGTAGATTGGCATTTAGTTAGTAGTACTTGGTGATAGGGAAGGTTTGAGAGAGGAAAAAAGCCTTATATGACATGAAAAGCTGGTCAAATTACAAAGAGAAAACATATTATTAAGGCATCTTGAAACCAGTAAGTACAACAACAACAACAACAAAGCCTTTAAGTCCCAAACATGTTGGGGTAGGCTAGAGTTGAAACCCAGCAGAAGCAATCAAGTTTCAGGCATGTGAATAGCTGTTTTCCAAGCACTCCTATCTAAGGCTAAGTCTTTGGGTATATTCTATCCTTTCAAGTCTCCTTTTATTGTCTCTACCCAAGTCAACTTCGTTCTTTCTCTGCCTCTCTTCACGTTACTATCCTGGCTTAGGATTCCACTACGCACCGGTGCCTCTGGAGGTCTTCGTTGGACATGTCCAAACCATCTCAACCGGTGTTAGACAAGCTTTTCTTCAATTGGTGCTACCCCTAATCTATCACATATATCATCGTTCCGAACTCGATCCCTTCTTGTATGACCGCAAATCCAACGCAACATACGCATTTCCGCGACACTTATCTGTTGAACATGTCATCTTTTCGTAAGCCAACATTCTGCACCATACAACATAGCAGGTCTAATCACCGTCCTATAAAACTTACCTTTTAGCTTCTGTGGTATCCTTTTGTCACATAGGACACCAGATGCTTGGCGCCACTTCATCCACCTTGCTTTGATTCTATGCCTAACATCTTCATCAATATCCCCGTCTCTCTGTAGCATTGATCCTAAATATCGAAAGATATCCTTCCTAGGCACTACTTGACCTTCTAAACTAATATCTTCCTCCTCCCGAGTAGTAGTGCCGAAGTCACATCTCATATACTCAGTTTTAGTTCTACTGAGTCTAAAACCTTTGAACTCCAAAGTCTCCCGCCATAACTCTAGTTTCTGATTCACTCATGTCCGGCTTTCATCAACTAGCACTACATCGTCCGCGAAAAGCATACACCAAGGGATGTCCCCTTGTATGTCCCTTGTGACCTCATCCATCACTAAGGCAAACAGATAAGGGCTCAAAGCTGACCCTTGATGTAGTCCTATCCTAATCGGGAAGTCATCCGTGTCTCCATCACTTGTTCGAACACTAGTCACAACATTGTTGTACATGTCCTTAATGAGCCCGACGTACTTCGTTGGGACTTTATGTTTGTCCAAAGCCCATCACATAACATTCCTCTTCTCCAAGTCAATAAAAACCATGTGAGGTCCTTCTTCTTCTCCCTATACCGCTCCATAACTTGTCTTATTAAGAAAATGGCTTCCATGGTTGACCTTCCGGGCATGAAACAAAATTGGTTCATAGAGACCCGCGTTATTGCTCTCAAGCGATGCTCGATAACTCTCTTCCATAGCTTCATAGTATGGCTCATCAACTTAATTCCCCGGTAATTAGTACAACTTTGAATATCCCCTTTATTCTTGTAGATCGGTACCAATATACTTCTCCTCCACTCGTCAGGCATCTTGTTCGATCGAAAAATATGGTTGAACAGCTTGGTTAGCCATACTATAGCTATGTCTCCAAGGCATCTCCACACCTCGATTGGGATATTATCCGGTCCCATCGCCTTACCTCCTTTCATCCTTTTCAACGCCTCTCTGACCTCAGATTCTTGGATTCTCCGCACAAAGCGCCTATTGGTGTCATCAAAAGAGTCATCCAACTGAAAGGTTGTGTGTTGTGTCCGTATTCTTGAAACCAGTAAGTAGCTAAAAGCAACTGAGTTGATAGGTTTTATTTGTGGACAAAGGGTGATATAGGGAGAGCTTTGGGAGTGAAAGTGTCTGTTTGCACCATATGCAGTAGAATACGCAATTCAATTATTATATTTGTATCATGATACCACATTAATTGTTCCACTATCCTGATTTTCCTCTTCACTCGCTAAGCTAAATTTTGTTTCTATGTTGGTAGTCTCGACAGGAGTTATGGGTTATGAATTGTCTTGCACATGCTTTGTTTGTCCTGCACAGTGGAGGGAGAAAAGATAGAGGGAGCCCTAAATCAATGGCTTATTTGACTAGGGCTTATTGTTGGGATTCATTTTCTCTTGATAGTTACATATATTCTTTTTGTTCTCTAGCATAGCGTCCGCATCAATTGTACATATAATGCGGATGTTCATTAAACCATAACCATGGTTCTTAAGGCAGTAAAGTGAGGCATGGCGATAGACCACCTTCTAATCGCCTAGGGGGTCCCATACCAATCTGAAAACGGCAAGGCAGAAGCATGTAGGAGGAAGAAAAAGAAAAGGAGGGGAAAAAAGGAGTAAGGGGGCAGGGGACGTAAGGCAATGGCCCAGTCCACTAGACAGCCCATATAACCCTCCCCTAACTTTCCTATAGGCCCCCCAGAACTCCTCCCATTCTGATTCATATCAGCACCGTCACATCCGCTCTCAGCGCCGCTGCTTGCTCGCCTTTGTCCTTGCACCTGCTGCTGCCTGCAACTCCTTCACTCTGTGCTGCTTCTCTGCCCCTCACTGAGCTGCACCCTCTCTGATCGTCTGAGCTGTGCCCTCTCAGATCGACTGAGCTGCTGCTCCCTTATAGATATATCATGCCTCAACTGACAGTAGCAAGTCCTGTGCCAGTCACCGACGCCAGAGCTAGTGGAAACGGCAGTGGTGGAAGTTTCTGGGACCTGTTGGTTGGTTTCCCTTCCATTCTTCCCCCTCTATCCCGTCTGCTTTCTTCTTTTTAGCTAGGTGACAGGGACACCGAGGATTTTTGAGTGCCTAGACATCCACTTGACACCTTAAAAGCCATGAGCAGAACCCATGTGCATTGTGTAACATGATATGTTTTACAACAATAGTATGGTCAACTAGGGCAATGGGCAACACATTCTTACAAAATAGGAGAAAAAGAGAAAGTGTTATCAAAAGGTTAACAGGGCAATGTGAGTCTGAGAGGATTCTACCCATGGTCATGTTGGTCATGTACAGAATCACAATAGGACGAGGGCCATGCTGTGTCTCTGCTAACACGAAGCATTACCAGTTGATGGGTGATTTTTGTATAAAAAACTGGATTTATGCAGAAAATTACTTAAGCTGTCTTGGAGGAAGCCATTGCTAAAGTTTTCCGTCTTCTCCACAGGCAGAAGCACTTGTCAAGGCTCAACAAGATATGGCTGAAACAATGGGAGCGCTTGGATTGGCATTCGTTAGACTAACAAAGTTTGAGACCGAGGAAGCAATGTATGACTCTCAGAGGATAAGAGCAGCTGACAGCAGGCGTGTAGCCACTGCCGCTGTTAAAGCTAGCAGGGCATGTCGAGATTTGAATGCGCAAACTGTCAAATATCTGGTAGAATCTTTAACCTTTGGACTACATTATCTATATCTCTACTGCTTATGAAGTGATCGTTTTCATGGATCTTATTTTTTCTACCTTCTATTTTGGCAGGATACACTGCATGAACATTTAAGCATAATGTTGTCTGTCCACACTGCATTTTCTGATCGGGCAAGTGCATTATTGACCGTGCAAACACTCATGTCAGATGTGGCATCATTACAGTCCAGGATTGAGAAACTTGAGGCTGCATCCTCGAAGATATTTGATGGTGATAGAGCTAGGATTCGCAAAGTTGAAGAGCTAAGGGAAACAATTAGGGCTACTGAAGATGCTAAGTTCTGTGCTTTAAGAGAGTACGAGAGAATTAAGGTAATGATTGCTCGTTTTGTCCAAAATTATTGCTGGTTATACAAGGACAATAATGATGACTGACAAAACATTGACCGCTTACTCCATTAGTCATCTAGTCTCGTGTAACTTTAAGTACCATCATATCCTTTTTCTTAGGCAAAATCAATTTCAAGTAGCGGTTCCATCAGCTTTGAAATGTGTGTACATTGTTTTCCCTTTGCTGCAACAGTATCATAGAAGTTTGGTGGATATCTAACATTCACAAGGAACCAATTCTCCATCACATTTCTCTGTTTGTTTATTTTCAAATATTATGCATGTAAGTGTAGCCCAGTGGCCAAATTGTAAAGATAACATTTGATGGGGTACAAACATATTACTCCCATGAGGCTGTAATTTAGGTGGCTTCAAATTCAATCACTAACTGGATATATTATGTGCGCTCATTCATTCATGTTGAGGAATATGCTTCCTTATCAATTCCAAGTGAATAATACCCTCCTTTCCAAATTGTAATACGATTTGGCTTTTGTAGATACGTAACGCTTGCTATGCACTTAGATATACACTGTCTAGATACATAGTAAAAGCAACGTATCTGGAAAAGCCAAAACGTCTTATAATTTGGAACAGAGGGAGTAATTTACTTTAATCGACCTGATTGCGAGGACCATATTTCCTTGATGCTGGGCACTTGACTAGCACGAGTCTGAGTAAATAAATAGAAACAGAAATGCTTCCTTCTGGCTTGTCTTGTTGTAATGTAACCTGTAAGAGTGCATTCTGTATATGCTTTGCATGCCACTTCTGATGAGATCTCACTTTGGTGATGCAACTGAGATCTGATAGAAATCTGTATGATATGCAGGAAAATAACAGGAGTGAACTCCAGCGACTAGACAGCGAAAGAAAACAAGATTTCCTGGTGATGCTAAAAGGATTTGTTGCAAGCCAGGTACTGTTTCAACCCATTTCGTTTAGCCTGTTCTCTTGTATCTGGCTAACCCAGGTATTTGTGCTGGATGGGTGATCATTAGTTAGTGCTTGCTCTGCTGGTCTCTGATGCTGCGAGTACAGTACATTTCTTTTGCCCTTGACCTGTGCAAATCGTATGCATGTCCACACGCAGGCGGCCTATGCGGAGAAAATCGTGGATGGATGGGAGACGGTAGCAGAGGAGACGAGCGGATATGTGCGAGCGCGAGGATCTGATAGCCTAACTTCTTAGCTTCCCCACGTTTGGTTGGATGCCAATTGTTTGTACAATGTAATCTAGGATATATATAAAAGGGCGTACCAGTGCAGATAGCTCCCGCTCTGTGCGGGGTCTGGGGAAGGGTGTCAGTGCAAGCCTTACCCTCGCTTGTGCAATGAGAGGAGACCGCGACTCGAACCCGGGACCTTTCGGTCACAGACGGTAAGACTACAGCTTGCACTGGGCCTGCCCTTCTAATATAGGATATATGGGTTTGGAAATAGAAAGATGCACCAGGTTCGATTTGTTTGTATTTATTTCATTAATTAAATAAAGGCACTGGCATGACGCCACAATTTTCACGTCCTGAATGCTACTCGCTAAAAGTAACGTTATTCTGTGGATTTCACAAATGGATCATTGCTCCAGGAAGTTCCATAGGAAGAAGCTACACTTCAGATCAAAATTAATGCCAGCCCCAGTTGAAATCCGTTCATTATAACTGCCCGTGAAAAGGACAAATTGAGCTCGTATCAGATTGTTATTATAATAATATCATTTAACTGTAAGAAAAGGCAAATAAGAAACGAAAAAGCAAATGCTCTTTTTTTTTTCTTTTTTCTTGTCCTTCCACAAGGTGGGAACTATTTACATCACCACTTCTGGTCTACAAAACATTTGGAGAAGCAAACCGAGTTCCCATGCCTAGAGAACTATTACAAAGGAATAAAGCCTAGAATTGCTAGAGCAAGCCTCTTATCAGTTCTGGCAGTGTTTGCCTTCCACTTCATCACAAGCTCAGCCATGAAGTGAAATGAGGATCAACGGCCAAACATCAAAAATTCATTTTAGCCGCTCCAGACCCTCGAAGAAACTTGATGGGCTTTCGAAGCCAGCAAGAAACATCTCTGGTTCTTCGGACATCAGGAATGGCTCTGGCTCTGACTGGAGCATGCTCTCCAGGACGCTCGAATCCAGCCCATCAAGGCACCAGGGCTGCCCCATGCCAGCGTCGGCTCCACCTTCATTATGTGGATCAGCTTCCATCATCATCAGCATCTCACCAATATCAAAACCATCATCACCACCATCTGGAAGATCTGTGACACCACCATCTGGAAGATTTGTGATAGGTTCCAGCGTCCCAAAGACCTTGTCAGCTACACTGGGTGTGACGGCTTGGATACAGCTTGATCCAGCCTCCAAAGCTTCTGGCCATTCTGCCTTTAGGGAGCTTGAAATGTCGGAGACTTCGTTTGAGGTGGATGCGATATCTGAGTGGTTTGATGTTGTTGTCGACTCACATGATGTGCCAGGCCGAAGAGCTTCAACAGCTGTTGGAGCAGCCTGGACAGAGGTCGATGCTAGAGCAGCCTGGGCATAGGTTGCTGCATGCTGTCTGGGGAAGTTAGTACGTGCCAAGTCTCCATACATCGCTCTGGCTGCCTCATCATAGGCCCTAGCTGCATCGTCCGCAGTTGGGAAGGTACCCAGCCAGAGTCTGTTGACACGATTTGGCTCTCTTATTTCAGCAACCCACTTCCCCCAAGTACGCTGCCTCACTCCACGGTACCCACATTGTGTATTGTCAGGCCCTCCTTTTCCCTTCATACAGCCCTTCTTCGAACCCTTTGCAGGTGCTTTTCTTGGTCGCTTTGCCCCCTCAGGACCATACTCCAACTGCTTGTTGTGCTCAGTCCACCGCTGGATGACAGCTGCCACTGACGTAGGCCCATCGCGTGACCTGCGAGGTCGCTTCTTCCTGCTGAATTGAGAAGGTAAACTTTAGTACTCGGCGTCATATGTAATACTGTAACGAGCATGCAAATAAAGTACATAAGCAAAAATAACAAAAATGCACCAACAGGAATACTATTTCAACAGGAAAAAACTAATAACAACCATGCACAAACAAGCAGAGAACAAGCAAAATAACAAAATGTTCAAACAGAACAGGTTACTACTCTTCTTAGTGCCCAGAAGACCAAAAGGTTCAAACATGACAATCATCATCTCCACATAAACAGATACTATTTTGCTCCCTACACGCTGTTAGTGGCATTTTAATCAAAAGCTCCTACACATGGAGAACATCTTCGCATAAACAGATACCATATCTGTCATTATGAACCTGCTAATATTTAATTTTGAACACATTGCACAATTTTTCTACAAAGTAGACAACCTTGTTAAGAGAAACAGATATCACTATCTGGCGCAAGTGTAACTCACTGGTCAAGCGCACAACACTATCAGTCAAAGACTGCTAGTGATAGCTCAGATGCTCTAGCACAGAGAGCAGCCAGATATATAGAACAGTTAAAACACACCACATTAGAGGCCAGCAGTGGCGCATCTCCCTGGGGTTTCTGCTGTACCAGAATCTGGTACTCATTCGAGGCAAGAGCACGGCCTCCTGCTGAAACATAAATTGTTATTTGCGTGATTGTGTTTTATAGGGCCAGGTATCGTGTGGACTCATACCAGTCAATATTTCCTTTTCACAAGAGGTGATCAAAGCAATCATACCTATTGTTGTGACGGAACTATGCACCACAGTACTGCCCTCTGCTCCATATGTTCTATAAATTACCGACAAGACAAGACAAATAGACATAATATGTATCAGCGACTGGATTAAGAAAAGGAAAACTAACAACAACAGAATTTGACAAAATACAGAAACAAAGTTAGCAGCAAGTTAGGCAGGCTCTACAAGCTTCATAGTATCGTTTCTGTGGAGATGATGCACACTATACTGTCACTCAGCACAATGTGAACGATGCTCATAACCCAAAGATCAAACTTCACATCTACGCTCCCAAATACCAAAAAATATGAACAATGCTGACAGCTCTGAAGCTCAAGCTTATATCTACACACCTAATAAATACCCAAAATACGCTCCTAAAATCCCATCTTACAATAGCTGATATACCCAGAACAAAGTTTTCACCGGTTCAACAAACAAACCCAGATTTCAACATGACGAGCAAGCAATAGCACGAACTTTCCACCATGCCCGAACTAGCAATCATCCACTGCAGTGACCAATTAGAATTACTAAGAGGTCTATGATCCCCAATTACAGCTTTTTACCCCGATTCCACACCAATGACACTCAATCATCGCCCCACCCACAAAAATTCCATAGCCACACCAGCCAATCCCAATTACACGGACCACCACCAGAAACCCTAATTCCAAAATTGCTACGGCACAATCCGACCAGGAAATCCCACAACCCTCACCAAGGGGCACCGAAAACAGCTTACGCACCACCGGAATTTGACTTTCCAGAACCCTAATTAGAAATTCCTACAGCGAATCGACCAGTTCCCCTCAAAATTTTCCATCCTAAAAGCCCCAAATTTTTTTTTGGGTACAAGATACCCGTTCCCCACCAGACTGAACATCCCCAAACCCTACAAACCCAACACACAAGTAAATAGAAAGAAGTGTCTGGAAGGCTGATCTCACCTTCCGGGCTGCAGGGCCGGGGGCTGCATCGGCATGGCCTGGTTCTGATCCAGCGTCATGGTCCCTCCAAAGATGGCCACTGGGTTCCTAGGGTTCGCTATCTCGCTGGCTGGTGTGTGCTTGTTCCAGTCGTAAGAATCGCGAGATCTCGTCGAGAAGAAAAGTCTCGAGGGGGAGAAAGAAGAGAGAAACCGGAAGCCCGATGGCAGTCGGGGCGCCGGCAATTTATAGGCCGGCCTCGAGGCGCTCCGTGGACTCTGGAAAAATATCTCGGATTCTAGGTGGCTTGCGGCCGGTCCACGGGGTTCGGCCGCGTGGGTCCCCTGTGTCATTGGTACAGGTTCACGTGAACGTGGTGCATTGAGGTGAGCAGAGAGGGGCGAGGTGACGTAAGGCGTGCGCTGGACCGCAGGTGGGGCTTTGCGTGGAAGGATCTGGAGACTTGGCGCCGAAGCAAACTCGGGGAGGCCAGTCGCTCCCTCGCTGCACTTACCTTCGACTGGTCCTTTCCTTTTGAAGGTAGTACTAAATTTTTAAGTTTCCGCTCTTTGAACTCTATCTATATTTTGTATTAAAAAAATCCTATCTATATTATGAAGCTTTTTTTATAACAATAACTAATTGTGAGCCACCTAAAAATTAACTAAAATTAATGGAAAGCGTCCAGGGGCTCAAAGTTAGACTAATTTCTAGCTAGTACCCTAACAAACAACACTAGTTAGCTAGAAAAAAAGCTAATTTGGGTTAAAAGCAACTCAAGAATGAAAAGACATAAATGCCTCTACGACGAACCCTATCATTTCACTTCCCCCACTTGCATCGCCCGATGTAGCCCTATGCTTGTCGTTAGGAGTGTGGAGCATAGGTCGCTAGGCCTTTTTGGCCGACGTGGGACCGTTAATGGCCCCGTTCGGCTTACCTTATAATCCACATTATTCAGCTTATTTTTTCAGCTGGAACAGTATTTTTCTCTCACAACAATTCAGCCAGAACAATATTTTTCAGCCAATTCAGCCAAGTTTCAGCAAGCCGAACGGGACCAATGTTATATCTTTATGCAAACATAGGAATGAGCTTATCTTCAATTCATTGGTTGTATTGTTAGGTGTTGTATTCTCAATTCTCATCAACAACTCATGTACATTTTATTACTGTGGTATATGCTCCTAGAACAATCTTACGATCATATAGACGTTATTTATTATCGACATTTTTCATATCCAACTCATACGGTATTGATACACACTTCTTTGTATTTGTAAATGAGATAATCCGTATTCATATTTGTACCCGTTACTATCCGTGTCCGACTCCGAAAAAATATATTATCACATCTGAAAGCTCTAGTTTGGTTTTGGTGAATTGATAAAACCCTAAGTGCTAACCTAGTTTATCAAAGTGATCATGAGATAGGTAGCACATTCCAAGTGGTGAAACAAATGAAGATCATTACATGATGATGGTGATGCCATGGTGATGATCAAATGCTTGGACTTGAAAAGAAGAAAGAGAAAAATGAAAGGCTCAAGGCAAAGGTATAAGTGGTAGGAGCC